CGTTTCTTTGTAAAAGTCCAAAAAACCTTCATATTTAGAAATTAATTTCTCACGAATTATTTACCTATCCCAATTAATTTTTGCTTTACTGTCTTCATTTATACTTTGCCAAATGTGATATGAAATTTTACTACTTTCTTCCATTGCTTTAAAAAGATATATTGGAATAAAAAAAGGGCTGTTATCTACCATTTTTCGGTATAATTTAGGCAACCAGAAATGCATCAGTTTCCATCCTTAATGCATTATACTTACCTGTGGTTTTTATAAGTAAATAGGCAACCAGTAATACATTTTTATAGATTTTATTACACAGTTTGTTTAAATACGAAGTAATGCACAAATAACAGAGCTTTCCCTCATTTTAATATAGATTTTCTATAAAATGGACTTAGTTTGAAACTCAAATAACTTTTTCGTGTAAAGAAATTTGTAATTTACATGCCACTTGTTCAAAAGCGTCAAATTACAAATTTCTTTACAACAAAAAGTAATTTGACTCCATTTTATAGAAAATCTGCGTTAGAATGGAGGAAACTCTGTTATTTATGCATTAATTCATATTTAGACAAACTGTTTAATAAAATCTATAAAAATGTATTGCTGGTTGCCTATATGCTATTGAGCCCTCTTAAGAAATTCTCTCCAAGTTTGCTAAGCTCTTCAGTGAATTATCAATATTTCTGTTTACTAAAACAAAGACTGACATGCCATTATTGGCATTTATAGACAACTATTCATCTCTATCTGTGTAGTATGTAAGTCAGGGATGATTCCAGAGGTTATCAACAAGTTTCAACAGTTTTGATTATTAATTTGGAGCACCATTCCTCAGTTTCAACGATTTTGATTTTTAATGCGTTCTACCTACCATTAAGAGGGCTCTATAGCAAATAGCCAACCAGCAATAGATTTTAAAATTTTTTATTAGTTTGTCTAAATATGAATTAATGCACAAATAACAGACATTCCCCCATCTAACGCAGATTTTCTATAAAATGGATATAATTTAAAATTTACGATGGGGCTTGTTCAAAAGCGGCAAATTACAAATTTCTTTACAACAAAAAGTAATTTGAGTTATAAACTAACTCCATTTTATAGAAAATCTGCGTTAGAATGGAGGAAAGTATGTTATTATGAGCATTAATTCATATTTATACAAACTGTGTAATAAAATCTATTGCTGGTTGGCTATTTGCTATCGAGCCCTCTTAAGAAATTTTCACCAAGTTTGTTAAGCTCTGCATGAAGGTAAAGAAAATATTTTTATCTCAAAGTCGCTAGTAGGCTTTAAAGTACTTGTTTTACTTTCTAGGGAAGTGCCACTGCGTTTGGTTGCGAACCCTGACCATAGAACTAAATTTTTTTGTCTTATATTAGCAACAGTAACTGAAAATGTTTTTAAGGCTTAATCACTTTGTATCTATTTTTATGGCATTTCTTATTGTTTTGCATCTTTTTATCGAACCCATTTTTTCATTTGTCATTGATTTTAATGACATTTTTTTTGTTTTTAAGTAACCCTTTTAAAAGTTATTGCAGTTTGTCGAGAAAATATTGTAAAAAAAAAAATTCAACTACGTATTTTAATACTTTTATTGAATATAAATCTTAATAATCCATACATGTTAATTTGGACAAAACATATACAGGTGCATCATTTACACATATGAAACTACAGTGTCTCCATACAAAAAAAAATTAAATAATCCATGAAACTTAAACCTACAGTCAGTTCAAAAACGGGCTTATAATAAAAATATTTAAAAATTCTCTCTATAAACACTTAATCTGCGCCAGCCAGCGCAACATGGTACGAACACCGAACTACGTTTTCTATTTGGAATAAACTGGGTAGAAAATAAGACAAAATATACTGTAACAAACGAGGCGCTGGCTAGACGCGAAACGGAGGCTCGACAGCTTAACTGATGAAGTGGTTCTTGAGATACTTCATCATGCCAAACGTTCTGAAGCGTTTGACGCCGATTACCTTCATCAGAGCGTCGTCGCAGATGGCGTACTGTTTGTTCTTGGGATCGTAGAGATCCTTCTCTTTGATTATCGCCCAGACCTTCTTCACCACCTCGTGTCTGGCCATGGAATCCTGCCCGACCAGAGCCGCCAGTTCGGGGGAGAGGGTCATGGTTTTTGTGTAGCCGCTGCCTCCCTTCCTGGCACCGCCCTACGAAAACCAACTCAATAGTACAAGGTTCTTACTAATGCGAGTGGTAAACTTTCCAAGAATTACATTTAAAAAAAAGGCACCAAGGCAATAAGACAATAAAAGTTTTTGCTTGTTTAGAAAATACGAATCACCATGACGATCTAAAATTTTTTGTACAGGATGGGTCAAAAATACAAAAATGTTATTTTGATTAAGAGCAAATTTACCTTATTTTGCAAGATACGAAAAAAGGCATTTTTGATAAAAGTTTTTGCTTGAAAAATGAATGTAACCTTATCAAAAATTTAATTAAACATTCTCTAGCACACCTCTAATCAGAGTACCTAGATAGAAATGCTTGATACATTTTTTAATGATGAACTCGAAAATTTACCATTAAATTTTCGCTAAAAATGTATTTTCAACAGGATGGTTGTCCAGCACATTGTGCTCGTGAGATAACAGAGTGGCTTAACCATAGTACGCGGGAGCGCAAATGCCTCCATCTGTCGTGCTGACTCCCAACTGTGCCATTCAAATGGCTACAGTAAGAAGCGACCTGCTATATTGCAGGTACTTGTAGCACAACTGCCACCCACAGGGGGCGAATACAATGTTTTAATTGCCAGTGTTGTGAAAAACAACTACTCCAACTACCGGCATTGAATTATACTCGCAACATCTAGTGCAACAGCTAGGGTCGTTCGTCATCAGTTTCCCCTCTGTGGGTGGTAGTCGTGCACCAAGTACCTGCAATATAGCAGGTCGCTTCCTACTGTAGTCATTCGAATGGCACAGTTGGGAGTCAGCACAACAGATGGAGCCATTTGCGCTCCCGCATGCAATGTATTTCCTTGTCGTGACGATACGACGCAAAACAGCTGGTTCGTTCGTCAGTTGTCTTACCTATGACATACTGATGAGGACTAATAAGTCTGAAACTGGTCTGTGCCTGGTGGGTTAAACTGACGAAGGACCCTAGCTGTTGCACTAGGTGCTGCAAGTATAATTCAATGCCGGTAGGGGCATATAGCCCTCGGAGTAGTTGTTTCTCGCAACACTAGCAGTTAAAACATTAGCTTAACCATAGATTTGGTCCAAGATGGATTGATAGAAATGGTCTTATTTCGTGACCCCCAAGGAGCCCTGACTAAATCATGGCCGATATGTTTCTATGAGGCCGTTTTAATTGTTTATGCTATTCCAATACCAAATAATATTGGAATGCTAAAAGGCAGAATTATCCAGGCTGTCCGTTCAATATTCCAGGAAGAAATCAGAAATTCCTTATGATTATCTAAGGAAGCAATTAGAAAAATGTGTTCAATATGGGAGTGGCGTTTTTGAAATTTGACATCTTCATCACATTGTTTTGTGTACTTTTTTAGCTTAATTGTTGTTGTAATTATGTTTGTATTTAAAAATTACACTTGAATAATAAGACATATTTTAGTTTGGTACTTCGTTCCCTATATAAAAAATTAAATTATTGATAACGTGACTTTCATTCATTTTTCAAGCAAAAACTTTTATCGAGAATGCCTTTTATTCTTATCTTGCAAAATACGGTAAGTTTACTCTAATGCAAAATAACATTTTTGTGTTTTTGACCCACCCTGTATAACAAAATTGAAGTTCATCATAGTGATTAATATTTTCTAAACAAGCAAAAACTTTTGTCAAGAATGCCTTTTTTCGTATCTTTCACTATTTGGTCCTTTTGTCCTCTTGTAAACACAATCCGGGGACATACTGTATACAAGGTGTTCCGAAAGTCCTTCGGGAAACTGTGGGAGGTGATTCTATGGATTATAATAATAGCAGTATATATTGAAATTTTTTTCAAATTGTTTGCAAGTTACAGCTTGTCAAAGTTCATTTTTTAAATTTTTCTTTGTATAGAAATTATTTAATTCAAGTTCGATTAATCTCTCATTTGTCACACCCACTAAATAGATGAAGCTCTAGCGGGCCAGTCGGAGAAAAGTTTCATAATGGCCACTAGGGGGCACTTTACCTAGAACACAATATTTGTTTTGTTCATCTTGCTAGACATCACAGAAATTTAAACATTATTGAAAAAAGAAACAATATCAGAAAAAATTATGTACTCTTCATTCAATCCCATAAATTTAACCATTTAGAAGGAAATTGCTATTAAAGTTTTATTAAACATCAAATTTTTGATAATCTTTCTGCAATTAATCAAGTAGCCATGCTGTAATACCATCTCTCATAAAATCAGCTTTGTTAGTAAATAAAATATTATTAATAAATTCATTATCCTCAACTTATTTTTCCGCAACGCCATTACAGAGGTGAAAAAAAATATGGTGAAAAATCATATTTATACCTGCTTTTAACAATTTTCATTACCATTCATAACACCAAAATTACTCATGACATTTATTTGAAGCATGATAACTTGATCAATTACAGAGAGAATTATAAAAAATTTGATGTTTTAATAAAACTTTAATAGCGATTTCTTGCTAAACGGTTACATTTATCAGCTTGAATAAAGAGTAAAAAATTTTTAATAATAATGTTTCTCTTTTCAATAATGTTGCAATTTCCATGATGTGTAGCAAGAGAAAAAAGTTATGAACAAAACAAATTTTGAGTACTAGGTAGTGTCCTCTAGTGGTGCATAATGAAACGTTATTGAATGAAATAAGTTATTTAAAAATAAAAATTTAAAAAAAATGAACTTTGACAACTTGCAAACAATTGACAATTTGAAAAAAATTTTCATTACATACTGCTTTTATTTTAATCCGTAAAATCACCTCATGGAGTTTCCTGATGGACTTTCAAAACACCCTGTATATTACATTATATGAGTTTTCTTATCAGCAGATCAGTGGCGACGTGAAAATTAAAGTGGGCATAGGTATTTAGAATATAAAGCGTAACACCCTTATAATATTTTAGGGAATAAGTCCACATAGAGAAATTTGCGAAAAAAGAAATAAAATTAGGGTTGCTAAATCTGAGATCTCAAAAAAGGCTGCAAAAATTTTTTCTTTTCACAGTATTTGAAAAATTAAATGTGTTAAATTAAAATTTAAATATGTACAACTACAAAGAAAATTTAATCTTGTGAAAAATCAAAAATGTGTATCAGTTAAATATGAAAAAAAAAACAAACTGTATATGCGCATCCCTATTTTAATTTTTTATTTCGCAAGTTCCATTCAAAATTTTTTTGTCATCAAAGTTTTCTATGTGAGCATAGAAATAACCAAAAAAACGATATGGACCCCATACTTAATTATAAAAATATGACTAACCTTAATTTTCATCAGCCACCACCGCAACAAGATTATACTTTAAAATATTTTCCCAGACGTATTTTGCTGGAATAAACTTAAGGGTATAAAAATAATATATTTTAACAAAATTTATATATTCCAGATACTCTTAAAACTCAAATAAGTAGATTTCAAGCACTAATTAAAAAAGTTATTAATAAAAAAATAATTAAAAAAAATACAAAATATTAAAAATAAATAAATAAATAAGCATTAAATTGAAGTCAATATCACATTTATTTAAATGTCTGAAGATGTTTGATGTAGATTGGTAGAAAATTAGGTTAATGATTCAACTAAGGGCAAAAAATCCTTGAGTCCGTAACAAAGTGCTAATTAGTGGGCCAAGACATAAAAAAAAAACGTCATTTAGAACCCGAAAATTTTGACGCCACCAAGTACGTGGAAATTGAAATTGTGCAATTAAGTATTAATAATTGAAAACAGTGTAACTAAGAAAAACAATATTTTCTTTTAATTCAAAATCATTTTAAAATTTCAAGCAAAGCAAAAATTGTATGTGCTATCCCCTGTCTACCCCCAGAAAAGAAAAAATCATGGAAAATTATATTTCTAATAGAACATTTCTTATAAGTTGTTTTATGCAACGTATAATTTTAGACGTATTTTTGATTTATTATATATTATTCAAAATGGAACATTTTCCATTATTTTTGTCACATTCATCTCAGGTGTTGTATTCTATAATTTTCTTACAGTGCTATAACTTTATAGCCACAAAAAATATAAGATAAAGAGTAACTTTTACAGAAATATTTTTGATTTTTTTTGACATTTAAAGTAAATCTGATTTGACTTTTTGCTATATTATTAACGACAGTTACTAGAAAAAATTGTAAAAATTGAAGGTTATCACTTGTAGTCGCCGTACCAGAAATAACACAGAATAACACCGCAGGATCGGTAACCCATATTTTAATTTTTTATTTCTCAAATTTCCTTTGAAATTTTTCCGTCACAACAGTTCTTTATGTGGATCTAGAAATCATTCACTAAAAAATGGTTCGGAACCCATGCTTCACTATTGAAATATCACCACTTTAATTTTTGTGAGCTGTCACTGAATTTTCCATACTTATGGATTTTAACCATGGTGACAACAAATTTGTGTGGTGATATTAGTCACATTTTCATAATTTTTGTTCAAAACAAATCAAACGTGACTCGAGTTTAAAGGAACACATATGGTGTAAAATAGTCAATTTTAAAATGATAAATTTTTTTTCTTATAGAAATCTTACGACAAAAGTTGTTAGTTTTTCTTTGAAAAATAAAAAATTGTCTAGTGTGAACTATTTCCTAAAAAAAGATAAGATTGGGAAAGTTGTGAAAATAATAAAGTGGTAATGTAATAGGCTGTCTTTATGGATTTTATCATAAAGTTAGGAAAAAACCTCGATATTAGTTTAAGGACAGTAAAAAGAAAAAAAATAAACAACTACTTCTAAAGAAGATAAACGTGGAAATGCTGCAAGAAAAAAAACTTACGCCTTTCTTTCCCTTCTTCGATTTGGCCCAGTCTTCATCGGAATCAGACTCAGATCCCTTCTTCTTCTTGGGTGGCAGCTTGCGTGTCTTGATGGGTTTGGACTTCTTGGGGGAATATTCCTCTTCTGAATCGCCTTCGCTCTGCTCGCTGGCAGACTCCTCCTCGGAACCCTTCTTGGCTTTTTTGGCGGCGGGTTTCTTACCTGCGGAAGATCGCTTCTTTTTCTTGTCACTTTCGGAGTCCTCCTAGAGAGAAAATTGTGGATTTTTAACTTTTAACAAAGGTTTCCTGAAAATTAATACCTCTTCCTCCTCTTCTTCTTCCTCCTCCTCCTCTTCTTCTTCAGATTCAGCCTTCTTACCCTTCTTTTCCTGTTTGGCGCTGACAAACTCCATGACTAAGTCGTCGATTTCTTTCTTTCTTGACTGTAAGTTGGCGTCGAGCTTTTCTTCCAGCTCTTGTCTCACTTTCTTGGCTGATGTTGATGACAAGTCAGCGTCTTTCAAGATCGCTGGAAATCGGAATATATTATGACATTTGGCCAACTGGTTTGCATGCATTTAGAAAATTCAATGAATATGAAAATATTCTATTATTTTTTTTTTATATTTAAAAAGAAATAGGAGTTAGAACAAACCAATTAGGTACATACAAATTTATGAAATTATTTCTCAGCAGCACTTATTGTTAGATTTATCCAAAATAGTTATTCATGCTGAAATATTTCTGTGAATATTCATTATTTAATTGATATTAAATTAAAATTTATATTTAAAAAGTAATAAAAACTCCTTCCTAGTAGTTTTTTTTTTCATATTAATTTTTGTTGACCAATTAGCATATGCTTAATATTGCATATGACATCAGCTCCATGTAACTGTTCTTATTCGCTTTGGTTTGCCACGAATGTATACTGTGATTCAGTAGCTTTTAATAGATTATAGGTAATTTAACTTGCAAATGAAAATGAATATAACTGATAATATTTAGATTCAATAGCTGTGAAATCGTAAGTGTATTGAATGTTTATTAAATGACACACCTTTATTTTTTCAAATAATTTGCTCTAGGCACTTCCACATTCCTACAATTTTAAAAAAAGGGTCAAGGAAAATTATTGCACTATATTATTCTCAGGCATTTGTGTTTCGATAACAAATATTCATATTTTTGGCAAATGAACCTACCTAAAGGGTAAATGAGAAGGTTCACAAATCATGAATATGGTATTTAATTACTACAAAGGGATACACTTTAAAATTTTTACTTAAAAAAGGAAAATTCAAGATACCCAAGACATGATTAATAAAACGACACAATTTTGTAACCGACACACACTGACTCTGGAGGAGTTATTTGATAAACCTTAACAATTTCGTTTTACTACATCTCATTTATTTTTATATGCGTATGGGATATTCCAGAAATTTTAAATAGGTTATAATCACAGATCACAGGTTATAATAAATCCAAAGATATTTTCGCGGTTTACAACGAAGTCCCCACGCATGCGCAAATGGCGGACGCCATGTAGTAAACATTTCAAATTGAATAAAAATATATTTTGCCATTTCAAATTTAAAAATAACGTAGTAAGTAAAAACGTCGAATTCCAATGGACAACATAAGCTACACATTAATATCAACTATTTATAATTTTGTATGACGCTGTATTCCTGAATTGATTTTTTATACGGAACAAGACAAAGGCCCAACAGTTAAAATAAACGAATAGTTTGGATATGCAAATGTCAATATACCTAATTAAGACAGCACAGAATTCCTTAGATAAATGCTGTAACGAGATTCAAAGAGACGTAAAACGAAATTTATTATTAAATTTATGATAAAGCGCGCCGAATACCAACGCGTCGTTATAAGCTTTTATATAGAAGAGCTGCATAAGATGTACGAAAAGTAATGATGCCAAGTTTTCAACGCCCAATAACTTCCTTAAGCTTACTAATTCGACTTCGGAATATTGACATAATATAAGCCCAAAATCTTTTTCTACACTTTACTACTTACAAATTTTATTACAAATAACGTAAATGTCCCAGAAAACGATGAAAAATGGTGAAGCTACATCGAGGTTGATGCAGACACTCGAACAGGAATGCCAAACAGTGATCTCATTTTTCAGAAAACTTGCTAAAATACGCAATAATCGAGGGAGACAAGGTCCTACAAAAATCAGAAATAAATTTCTACATCGATTTTGTCCACGGTATTTGTCGATCCGAACCGTATTTCCAGAGATATTTCCAAAATTAAAACCGCACGATATTCCATCTATTAGTATAGCGTCGTTCAGCCATTGTTTATATACGTATGGCAAAGTAGATATTGTACAAGAGTAAATCGCTCGATTTTAACTGTTAACCCACGAAATGCCATAGAGAAAAATTGTGTAGAAAAAAATTACAAACTTAGTTTTGTGATTTTGACTACTCCTAGTTCTTAAATTAAGGAAAAATTAGCACTTACCGGCAATTTCTTTGCGAAGATCGTCCTTTGAGATGTCTGCCATGTTGCTGGAAAGAGAAAACTGACACGACAGAGAGAGATGGGAATAAACTGGACCGGATCGGTGAATGCCTAGCGACTGGCACTGGGGCAGATTCGAAGCAAAACGACGAAGTACCAACTACCTGTTTCAACCCCCTACTACTTTTATTTGTGGCCCTTTCTGTTCGAAATTTTAAATAAATACTATGATTTCTCAAAATTGTGCTCTTTTACCGGATTTAAAATTCTAGGTAGGTACCTACCTACCTGTGAACATTACGTTTAGTAGATGGTATGTAAAATTTATTTTTGAATACCCAGAATCTGACTGTTAATTAGAGATTACATTTATTGATTTCTAAGATACCTCTTTTCACTGCCTCTCCTTGTTGCTTGTTGTCTACAATTTTCAATTACAGGACAAATGTACAATTTTATTTATGTAATGTTAATTTAAAAATATTTACATATAAGAGAAATTTGATGTAATTCCAATAAACACGTATAAATTTATGGGGAAAATATTTACAATGTATGTACATATATTAACTAGGTATAGTAACTATACACTTCAAATTTTTAAATAGGTATTACTTTTTACCAATTTGGTAGCAAGGTTTAGTGACCGTTATTGTGTTAACCTTTTATTTTCGTGTTCGGTTATGAAAGATTATAACTCTATAAAATATACCTATCATATAATATTTAAATTTATAGCTTATACATATAAAATCTATAAAATGTATTTCCACATCCAGTTTCCATACATTTTCAACTTGTTCCCTTGAGTAAATTTCTGTAATTCTGTGCAATAACTTCTGGGCAGAAGATGGCGCCGCATATAAAGATTGTGATACTTTTATAATACTCAGAAAAAATATAGATCAAATATTAACATCTACCTAGTACCTAGTTGTAACTACAAATATGTTGTTTTTCTATACGAATTGCAATAATTTATGTAAAATACATATAATATTTGAGCAAATATCATAGGACATTATAACTAAATAATGTAGTTTCATGTTCGAGTCAAAGAGGGAGCAACTAATTTATTAATTTCTTTTAATTATCTCATATTTAATTAAAAAATCATTAAATCAAAACTAAGAATTAAAATTTGCAAGTTTAAATTTCAGTGGCCTGTAGTGATCTCAACGACAGTTGCACCATAGAAAGTCAAATTTCTATTTCTATGATAAATACCAATGCATATCAGTGTTTGTATAAGCAGAATGGGTATCCCTCTCTGGTTTAAGTTTTTGTTTACAAGCAAGAGAATGAAATACTTGTGAATTACTTTCTAGAATTCTTGAATAAGTTCATACTTCATAGTTGTTAGAGAGTATCACCTACAGTAAACATTATCAACTGCCTTTAGATCGTTGAACTTGGAGAGAGAACTACATTATTTTCGTTAAAGTGAGATACTAACTTTAGAGTTGTAGCCACTGGCCAGTAGATGGCACGACGGCAAGTAGCACACACGTTGAAGATGTCGTTTGCGTAGCGATTTCCGTCTTTAGTTTCCGATTGTGTCCAAGACAAAGACGAACGAATATATTGCGCGTAAGGTAAAAAATGACGAATGCGCACGGCGGACCGGTTTATTGGTTGGTTCTTCTCCCGTTTAGAGGTTGGGACGAGTTTTTTAGTGAATGCAGTTTGCTGCCATGCAACTAAAACGATTTCGTTGTACCATGACCTGATTTTGAGTGCATCGTGTACTAGCCGGCCTGAAAACATGCACGCAATAGCCGAAAACCTGTGTGCATTCTTGCGAAGATGCATCTTGGAGGCCGTGGCCTCTGCGAATGATAATTATGTTCGTGCGTAGGAATAAATATAGCTGTATTTTTGCCGACTTCTTTATTTTGGAATGTTTCGGAATGACTTCTGTTTGTACATACTTCTGTTATTATTTTATGACCAACCACAGCGCCACAGCTACAGGCTTTATAAATACGTAGGTACCTACTAGCTACTAGATACGTAGGTAAAGTAGGCACTTGTGCACTAATGAATAACGAAACAATTTTTTTGATAATTTTTAATTTTTGTAATGGAAACATAAATCAACATAGAGACGTTGGTACCAGCCTACCTTCTTGACATACCTGTTTATTTTATTAGTTGTAATTTAATTCAACATCAGCTGTTTAAGACAGGATAAGTAGGTAGGTACGGCCTATATAAGACATAACTGGGAAACCTAGGTGCTACCTACCTATAATAATTAGATATGAATTTTAAAAAAATTGGAAGAATTATAAATTTTAAATTAATTGGGTATATGTATTTGACTTCTGTCGGAGATCTTAAAATTGTATGATCCCAGACATACAATCTATTGGGTTGATAAGTAGGTAGATATTTTTTTACAGCATTTGGAAATATTCGTTGTAGGGTAGGGTCCTTGAATATAAATCGGATATTTTCTTCAGAAGTGCTGGACAAGTACATGTAGACTATTTATAAACTATCGATTTTTGGACAGCCTGACTTAATGGACACACAGGCGTACGTTACTGGGTCTCAAAAATATTCCTCAGACACCTTACATCATAAAGAGGAAAAATCCAGATCGATTTGATCAAAAACTGGATTTTATTTTATTTAAATTTTGATAAAAAAATTAAGTAACTGAGTCTTCTTTTTTTACACAATAACACTTTGGTTCGGAGTATACAGGCTGTTTCATTAATTTCAGGAGATTGCTCATTTAACGGTGGGTAGTAGGTAGATACTGTTACAAATCATTACATAAATCGTTACATAAAAAAAGTTCTTTTAAATAAACGGCGTACGATTCAAATATTTTTTTTTAAATTAAATAGAAATTTGTGTAAGGAGTTATTAGTGAAATTGCTATACAGTTCCTATAAACTTTCATTTAAAATAGTATTGAATAACAAAACAGACAAGAGTACATTTTTGGTGCAAACACTCCTTTGACTATAAATCTTTAGAGCATATAGGTACTACTGGAGAGAGGTAAAGGAGGGTATATTCTATCTTTCTCTAGCAGCACGCGATTGCATGTTGCTAGAGAGAGATAGCAAATACCCTCCTATACATCTCTCTCTTTCCAAACCTCCGCTACACTCTCGGTCACTGGAACGCTGCCTCCAGTAGTATATGATCTAAGTATAAATCTACCGAGAGATCCAGAATCATATAAGTACATATACTATCTATATACTATGAATGAGTTTTGTTCGGATCTTGACCGGAATGGTGCGCATGCGTTAGAAGTAGATGCCGATGCGAGAATGTGACAATTTCGCTAGATACAATAAGCAAAATGTCACGATCTAAGCAGTGGACAATCCGTAGTAAGGACCACAGAAATCTTGCTCTCTCCACTCGTTCATGATTTTGTGTGCAGGGCATGCGCATTGGGTTCTAATTCCTCGGGAGAGACAGAAAAGTATCTCCTTCTCTCCGGAGAATTCCGTACTCAGGGGCCTATAGCCGGCTACCAGTATATAGATAATAAGTATATGTCCAGAATGATTGAAGCGTTTGGGGAACGCAGCCTGCTTCTAACACCATCTTTAGCATGTAAAAATCTGTAGTATTGACGAAGACAGGCATACCTGTAGGCTGCGATCTCCAAACACTTCAATCATTTTGGATCTCTCTGTACTTTGCAATTTTAAATACATAACTGTAAAAAACGTAGCAATATTAGAAAATAGTTTTATACTGGAATTTTACATTTTATTTGTAAAATCACAATTGTTAAGGAAGTTACGGTAAAAATAATGGGTAAATAAGCATTTACTTTTTAGTGTATGTTCTTAATTTTATTTCTTTAAAGAAAAAAAATGGCTTATTTTCCTCTTGATCTCTATCGGTGACTTCTCGCCTACGCCGCTGGCTGGCGTCGAAAAAAACTGGGCGTTGGTTTTAAGGAACGCGAGATGCAGTTTAGGCGTTTGACGTCGGCATCGCCCGTCGCCAGGGCAACCCTTGATTGATAGGACAGTTCCTAGGCCCGTGAGCAAACACTTGTCAAATTTACACTTCTGGCGGGGGTCACTTTGCCGCGGGCGAGCCGTAAACCCCCCTCTCATTCGGCCAAATTGGACGTCGCCTCTCGTTTGTCAAATTTAATGGGACGAAATAAATTCTTTATCGATAACGAGACGTTTGTTTGAGTGTCAAATTCGGACTTTCTCTATTTTAGTTCATATTTGTTACCGTCGCTACAGGGTGTCCTAGAAAACTCGTAATAGTCCAGTCACTCTGAAGCCGAAAATAAGGTAAAAGCTCCCAATTTTTCGGGATAGCATGGATTTTCCTAAAAATTTGCATACAAGCTCATCTGAGCCCCCACTTCAAAAGTTATATTGTCTAGATGTGTGCTTTTTTTCTATTTGGGGGTGAAAACTACCCTTGTACTAAAAAAATTGCGAAAATCGCAGAGTTACGTATTTTAAAGATTCAATTCATGTTCAAATATGTTGGATAAAGTTCCTTTCATATTTTTTAATCTAATTTGTGAAATTTAATTACTTTTCAACCCTTAAAAATCCTTAAAAACTACCTTTCCATGGCCAAAAAATAGAAAAAAAAGTTTTTAACAGTTTAAAATACTTTTTTTGATGCATTCACAATGTATTGCATTTCTTTTGTTATTCATTAGAAAGCTTACTACTCATTACAAAGTTGCAACCCTTAAAATAAAATAAACAAAAATATTATTGAAAGCTTGAGATGTTTTAATGGTATGCATATGTTGAATTATAAACTTTATGGGTTTTCAAATGATCTATGATTGCAACTTTTCAGCCACCCCTTATAGAAAAATTTCTTAAAAATTATATGCGAGTATGATATAATTATTTTTAATTTTATTGAATTTATTCCTAATATTTTTTTATTGATTTAATATCAAATAAAATTTTTATATAGTACATTATAAATGGATGTATTGTACAAAATGTTTTAAAAATGGTCTGTTATTTTTTACATGTGAATATAATGAAATATTTAATTTTCGTCACTATCATCACTATCTTCAGCCTCGCCTTGATTTATTGATTTAATATCAAATAAAATTTGTATATACATTATGTTTAGTATTAAGCTATTATAAAGT